CAGAGAAAAACTTATTATTATCGAAGACTTTCTTTGTATCACATAAGAATATCGATTAAGAAAGCCACTCAACAGAAAACTACTGAAAGGAATCCCCTTTTCGATATTTCAATTTCGATACATGAAAGAATTATAGCGGATCACCATTGGGTTTTGTGAAAAACTATAATCTTTTAACAGGAATCCGACCATCGAGGGATTCCCCAAAATGAATAGAAAGGAAAGGTAAACAGGAAAAACCAAATTAAGTACTTATGGAAACAGCCAGCCAAATGATTATTTCGAAAACACATAGCAAAATTTAGACGAAAGAAGCTGTGGCAAGAAAAAAAAATTGGTACTTAAAGGGGGTGAAGTTAAAAGCACAGGACCCGGTCATAAATGATGACCCCTGTTAACTGAGGATTAGAAGTTTGATAAGAAACTGAGAAAACCTGTTCCTATAATTACCTTCGGAAAGTTACAGAATCACTGAAGAAATGATTCGAAAGAAGAATTCAACATAGCGATTTCAACGATTTAGAAAAAGAGAGTATTCACCGAATCATCACTAAAGAGCTTTAAACCAGATTTTGAATTAAGTGATTCAAAATCTTCTAAAATCATTGGCTGAACTATATGAAAAATGACTACAACGGCAAAAATGAAGATGAATCTGTAACAGAAGAAATGCAAAAAGCACATGATGAAATAACCGAAATGTATGATGACATCTGTTTTAAATTAGACGCCTTGTCATCTGCTCATTTCATGCCAAAACCAGTTAAGAAATCATTGGAAGTAAGGGTAGAGACTTCAACCATTTCAATGGAAGATGCTCAACCACTGACCATGTCATCTGAATCTACTTTGGCGCCACAAGAAATCTACAAAGTTTCTAAATCTGACAATGCTTCCGAAATCAAATTAAAGGATGGTACGGTAATGTCTAGAGATGAATTAAGTAGAGAAGATAAGACCAGACTACGTAGAGCTGCCAAAAGAAAGAGATCCAAAGCTCTGGCTAATAGAGAACAAGGTCCATCTAAGAAGAGCAAGAAAAGTTCTGTTATTGAGACATTGTCGAAAGCTAAAAACATTACAGTCATTGATAAAAAGGGTGGTCATAGCGATGTCATGGGTAATAAGAAAAAGTCTGGGAACAACAATAGAGGTACTGCTAATATCAAATTATAAGATATAGCTATACTGTAAAAGTAGTACATATATTCTACTAGGTATGTAACCTCCTTGATCTGTAGAATAATTTATAATAGAATAATGCATTATATTTGAACATACTTCACAAACGTAGTAAATATTATTAAAAAAACAATACTTGGAATTTAGTATATAAATAAAGAAAACAAGAATTCTAATTTTAAAGTATTATTGATTAAAGTCTAATGCATTATGAAATTTTACACAACTATTATTTATGAGATTCCCTAGAACGATTGGAAAGAGCACGTACACCTTTTGTAATGGATGAAGAATAATGACGAGACAGTATAGCATTTTCCCACAATGTTGCTGCATCTGGATTACATCTTGATAAATCATCCGTTTCTAAGTGGAAATGGCCATTACCAATTCTATCTTCTGTGGAATATAACCCACCAATTTCTGGATATCTATTCATCAATTTATCAATAAACTTCAGAAGCGCAATTGTAGTTTTCTCTGGCGTATGTTCCATACAGATATATAATCTTTTCGTAAATGCAGCGGCTCTCTCTCTTGTACCTGATTTTGATCTAAAGAAAACATGATCTAATGATTTTAGTAACAATTCAGCTTTAGTTGAGACATTTACTGATGGTTTTAGAATCTCATTGTTTAATGGATCAGTCAATCTCAATGATTTATAGGAAAGCTCAATATCAGCATCCAAAGAAATATAAGGTAAGACAGCATACAAAGCATCAATGAATTTGGAAAGATCAACGTTAAATTTCATTTGGTTATGGTTTGATACCAAAGAAAATGCACTAACAATACACAGTAATATCTTTCTCAACCCAGAAGGTGTTAAATCTTCCATGATAGAGTCCTGTATTAGCTCTTTCATAACATCAAGGAAATCACCTAACAAGTCAAAATTTGCCATGTTTCCAAATTTAGCCAAACCTTCCAAAACTGTACCCACTAATTTTTGGGATGCAATTTTCAAAATGTTTAAGTATAATGACAATAAGAGTTTCAAAATTTCCGCTTGATTCCTTTCTCTTTCTTCTGCAGAAACAGCTTGTTCAGCTGCTCTCATCTCTTCTTCTATTTGCTTCATCTCTTTTCTTGCTTTTCTCTGTTTCTTTGATAAATGTACTCTGTCCTTTTTCTTTACTTTCAATCTAATGGCATCTTCGTCTGATTTAGTATTTGGGTCATAATCTTGAAGAACGTCAAGTGACAGAAAGATGTTTATAACTGATTCATCAATATTATAATTTCTTGTTTTAATTGTCTTTGAGAAGATTTTAATTATATCTAAAGAGATATTACCTTCATCATCTTCGCTCAATAGCTGTTCCAACACTATTATAGAGTCTCTTGATATTGGATCAGCAGCTAAGTTTGGTTTACATACACGACGGATCAATATGGTCAAAATATGACTTCTAAAGTTGAAATGCGAAACATTTGGGATCAATTGGTTAACAGCTTTCATGGCTAAAATACCCAAATTTACCGCAATGGTATCTGCATTATTTGGGGTTTTTGCTAGACGTTCCAACGTCTCTAAGTAACTTTTATAATTGGCCACTAAACTTTGTTCAAAATGTCTTAATCTTGAAACTTCTCTAGTGACTTTTTCCTTTTTTTCCAATTCTGTTAATGGTCTAATCCTATAACCTGGAATAATACTATTAAAAACCGAGACAAGGGCTAACATTGAAAATTTACAAGTATTTGGATTCTTAGAAGTGGTCATTTTACATAATCTTGTCAAAGCTCTTGTATGCTCTTCAGGATCTTGCATCAAATTTTCCACCAATTCTGCAATTTCTTCCTTTAGCTGAATAATTTTTTCTTCAGTATTAACTTCATCTTCACTATCCTCTCCATCATTTTCGTTTTCATTCTCATTCTTAACATTCTCATCTTGAGATTCGTTATCATCGTCTGACTCTTCCTTTTCTTTTTCATTTTCTTTTAATCTTTCATTCTTTTTGCGCATCTTTCTGGTAATCTTACCATCTACTTTAACTGGCAAACCTTCGACAACATCCTCTTCATAACCTTTTAAAGATCTAGGTCTTAGTTCATAATCTTGCTCTTCTGTTTCCCAAGTATCTATCATGGAGCCATCTTCAACATCAGAAATGTCACCTACATCAGTAAACCCACCGCCTTGAAGCAACTGATCTTCTTGCTTCCTCTTTTTAGCAGTTCTCTCTTGAATTGCAACCTGAGATCTCTTGTTTCTCGCCATATCGTTCACTTTAAAGTTTTCTTTCTTATTGAATAAATCTTCAGCTAAAACCAAATTGATATATCTATATATATAGTGGATCGCAGTCAGTTAACAAATACACCACCGTTATAAATACTTAAACCAATATATTATACAATCCCACAACTTCAAGCACTGCCACTAGTATTCTTCTTCAAGTTCTTATAAGAATATTCGAAATCAGATGAGATGAGATGAGATGAGATGAGCTTTAAAATTTTTCATAGTTCGGGAAAAAAGGAATTTTAAAGGCTTTGAATTTTTCAAAATGTGAAATTTGGGATCAAAAAAAAAAAAGATTGAAGAGCAAGATGGGATGGGATGATGATTTAATATTTTAAAATATAAGGAATTATTAATTGTGAATGGAGTGAGAGTTAAGCTAAGTTGTAGAATTTAAATTCTTTGTTTGTATTGTATAAATAAGTGATTAAGAGTAGGTTTGCGGGAAGTTTTAATACTTCTAATAACATATAGAAGCATATGCTTATTTTAAGAGTTTGACATCCAAAGTTCCACAAATAAATTTGATCAGGGAATCAATATATATATATTTGGGTTAAGAAATAGGTGACTGGGGACTAGTTGAACTGGTGGTGATAATAAGTGTTATTTTTGGTCGATCAATAGGTTTAAAAATATATAATGCTTTATGATGAATTCAAGAATGAATGATAGGAAACAGATGAATTCAGATGATGGATCACACTTTTTAAAATTAAAATTTAAAGGGAATAATAATAATAGTCGCAATAATAGTCGCAATAATAACAATAACAACAATAATAATGGAAGCATTAGTCGTAATAGTAATAATCCAGTGATACAAAACCATGGAAGTCAAAGGCTTTTCGAAAGCAATAATGAAGATCTTTCAATAGTTTTCCATAAATTTAATAAATCTAAAGATACTACGTTTAAAAATACATCTGCTAAATCATATACACAAAAAATGTATCCTCCAAGTATACGGTTTGTGAATCAAAAAGAATTAACTCATCATATCAAAACGAATAATAAAAATAAAATTCACCATCGGATCAATAATATGAATAACAATTTAATAATTAAAACTAATCCAAAATACAATAAGAACAATATTCATATAATTAAAAGTACAAAAATGTTGGACAACGAAATTGGTAAAAGACCAATTACATTTGTATCAGCTCCAATTAATGGGTCACCATCAATTTTATTAAGTGAACGATGTAAAGACACAAATTTAGTTGAACATTTTTTAAAGACAACTAATAATATAGAAAAAGTTTCTATTAAGGATGACTTAATCGATATACAGAAGGAATTTTCAATGTTGACTAACGATCCTGAACAATTAAAAAATATTAACGATGTTTTCAATAATGAGCTAAAACTCCAAACTAATAAAGGAGTTAATTCCCATAAAGGAAATATTTCATCTAAAACAAGTAATAAAGTAAAAGGAAAAATTTCGTCCCTTGACAGTAATGGGAATGGTAAATTTAGTTCTGATATAAGAGTGAAACTAAAAAAAACGACAGCTGAACAAAACCTATCGAATTATTCCACTTGTACATTTAGGGTTAAGATGAAGGATAATCATCAAAGTAATACGTGAAAATGCTTGTCAGATTGAAACAATTATAGAATTAAGAATACATGTTGTATCGGACTGATTAAAAACAATGACTAAAATGCATATGGTATAATCAATTAATTCATATTTTCTATGAAATTAAGGTTGATTTGACAAATTTTCTTCGTTGAAAGGTTAACAGGTTAAACTTTCTCTCAAGTAAAAGAGGTCAATGCACTTTTTTGAGACGATTTAGGATTGTGTCGTGGATCAACTTGAGATGCGAACTTGATTCCAGGGCTTCACCGTACATTGAAAACAGTCCTTTGATACTTCTGAATTCTGTAGCTGTTGTGATAATTTTTTGATTGACAGCACCTTCATATATAAATCTTGCGAAACTGTAAGTCGCCTACTGAAAGGTATGCCAAAATCAAGGACTCAGTTAATTTGCTTTTTTCAGAAGTATTATTCATATCTTTTGCATTGTTAGCGGGTTGGAATATTGGAATTTATAAATTTGAAGTGATTTATCAGCACCCATATTTTGAATAAACCAATATTTTGTCGATACTATATCATTAAAAAACCTAATTTCATTTCAGGAGTGATATAAGAGAGTCCTCGTTCAAATGAATTTTCATCCCCACTTACATAGCTTCTGTAAGCAGCGTTTGAAAACATTTGAATAGATAAAATTTCAGAATTACCACTAAAATGTTGTTTATATTCTTCATATAATTTCTCAGAATCTTCAAACCTTTCTTTAAATATACCCAATATCCGTAGAATTTCTCTAGCTAAATCTACATCATTCTTATCTACTCCTAGTGCCGTTATTTTTGCAAGTAATTCATTAAATACATTAGCAGTTGGATAAGAATCTTCATAAATAGACCTAACAGAATCAAACCCGTTTATTTTTCGAATTGATTCAATTTCAATATTATACCTTTTCAAAGATTCTAATTCAACTTCATTTAAGGAAATCCTGTTATTTTCACCAAATTTATTAACCATTAAACGTAATAAAGTTTTATTTTCCTTGATTGCCTCAATGCCATAAGTCTTATAACATTGATACAGTTGATAATTTGTCAAATCCTCAAAAATGTTAAGAAAATCTGTCAATGAAATATTGAAATGATCAGTTAAAAATGGAATAAGAAAAGATGCATTCTCTTCAATTACTGTTTCTATTAATTGTGTCATAATTTTGGTATCAATTAAGTCTTTGTTTGATATATTTTGAATTAGGAAGATGGAACGTACTAAATCATTAAATGTCAATTTGGTTTTACCTTCTTTAATATCAATCTCATCAAAATAAACTATTTTATTTAGAATTGCAACTAAAACATCATCGTCGACCTGTTTTTCCAAATAGGTATTACCTATTGAAAATAGTTCCCAAGAGCTCCAAAATCTTCCCGGATTATAGTTTACCATTTCCAAGAATGACAGAAGATCCAACTTCCCATTCATTTCAAATATTTTTTTTGAATGTCTAATTGCAATACCATAATTGTATTTGGTCATTTTTGCAATCATTTGATTATGCAACCTTGATTTATCATTATCGGATAATTTTAGTTCCCCTAATGTATTATCTACTAATAATGAAAAATCAGTAGAATCTAAATTATCCAAATCCTTAGGTAATTGACTTCTCACATTATCAAATATTTTATTAGAAATAATTTGTCTCATTTGCTTAGTCCTCATTAAATTATTATCACCATGATTATTTTGTAACAAGACCCTAGAATTCGAGAAGAATCTTCTCGGAAACATTCCAATTTT